CCAGATTTTGTAGACTGGGAGGGTGAGCCACGAAGAAGTCTTCCAAGTATGGTCTAAAGGTCAAGAAAATATAAGACACGTAAAATGCCCAAACCTAGCACAGTTTGGTTATATAACGAGAAATGAAAAATAGACTGTTGACACTTAGGCAAGATAAAATACGTGGGGAGAGATGTGTAGAAAGAACTAGTGAGCCGAAAAGCTGTAAAGGATGGGTTGGAGGTAATACTGCGTCATTGTTCAGTGGGAGCAACAGGAACCTGGGTGGTGAGCAACAGGAATGGGTATAGTTTCTTCGACTTGTTCTCAGCCTTCCACAAGTCTGTCGTATTGGATGATCCCTTCATGGGAACCTTCCAAAAGGTGTTGTGCTTTCGGTGCAAAGGCCCTCAGATGTGAACCAGTGGAACAGCTCCATGGAAGATGCTTCGAGAGTTTGCCTGTTCCTGGGCCTTAGCAAGCATTTTGGTATCGGGCGTCGCTTTCTTCCTAGCCGCAGGGAGCTGAAAGCCCATCAAAGAGTTCCGAAAGGAGCAAGTGATTAATATAAAAGCAAAGTAGCTTTTGATATGTTGGCATGTCTCTGTGTCTGCTTATTCGGACATCTTTCTTGTTCAGCACATTTTTTCCCCCTGCGGTTATTAATTTGTGCTGCTTATCCTGCTGCATCTGGCACAGTGATACCCACGCTGTTTTAAATGTGCAATTTCCCTATCGCCAGCGAGGCAGATCAAGAGGGGCATAAACAAGACCAAAGTGGCACTTTATGGTGTCAGGGAAAGGTGGGTGGGTTCTGTATTATTTTACGATTTGAAATGATTGAATGCTAAACTTTAAAAAGTGTGTGTTCCCCCTTTTCCAGCTTCCCCCACATACGCTTTCCCCCTCAAACTCCGAAGTATGCTGGGCCCTGGTCAAATTTCCCGTTAAAATAAAAATGTGCATTTCCTCTCCTTCCCAAATTCATTTATCATGCTTTTTAAAAAGGTGTTTTTCTGCTTTACCTGATGCCTAAATTGGATTGGCTCATTTATGCTGTTCTTTGCTATATCCCCCCATGCTTTTCTTAAATGAATTAGTAATGACAGCGTGCTCCATCATACCCTTCTCTACAGCCACTTTAAGGGGGAAGCCGGGTGATCTAAACCTTTTAACCTATTAAAGATGATTTTCCCCAATTGAATCAGACCCACCACAGGTATAATAACTAATCATTTAAACTACACCTGCTATTACATTTTTTTAAGCCATTATGCATGTTGGATAGATGATAATTCATGTTTATTGCATTGTCCGATGGATCCGTTTTGCCTACACTAGTCTGATTAATGTATTTAAAGAAATAAGAGATGCAATTTAAAGGGGGGGGGGGAACACACACACTCCCGCACATGGCATCGTTGATGGAATGCACCAAGGACTACATCAAAAGGGCCATTAAAACCCATCAAAACTCTGCTCTTTGACCTGAGATGCATATCTGAAAACCAGGTGAAGACAGGCATTCATTCTTGAATTATGGCCATGGGTTTAGGTTGGGTTTTCCTCCTCCAAAAAGGCTCAGACCTTAACCAAAAGTCCTCCAAACCTGTTGAATCAAACATTCCCTTCTTTCTCATGGAGAAAATAACAGAGAAGCCATTTCCCCCCCTTCCTCATAATACAAGAAGCCCACAAGGTCATCCCACGAAACGGATTGGTGGGAGAATTGGGAGGGACCAGTGGAGGGACATGCTTATGCCGCATAGAGTAAAACCGTGGAACCAGCTTCTTTGAGGTGGAGTAGGGACCCACAGCCGGATGGCTTTCAAAAGCAGTGGGACAACTTCACGGAGGAGGAGGCTATCGAAGGCCACCAGTCCCGATGGCCATGTGGTGCCTCCAGAATCAGAGGAAGCGTGTCCATGGACACTAGTTGCTGGCAAAGATGGATGGGGTTGCCCTCCCTCTGAAGGACGGGGTCCACAGCCTGGGAGTGGTCCTTGACCCAGAGCTGGCCCTGGACGCTCAGGTGACTGCAGTGGCGAGGAGCGCTTTCCTTCAGCTTCAGTTAATCCATCAGCTGCGTCCCTACCTGGAGGAAGACTGCCTAGCGACAGTGACACATGCATTGGTTTCTTCCCGGTTGGATTTCTGTAACGCACTCTCCGTGGGACAGTCCGGATACTTCAAATGGTGCAAAATAGAGCAGCCAGGTTGCTGACGGAGACTGGGCATTACTCTCATATAACCCCAGTCCTCTACCAGCTTCACTGGCTTCCCATCGAAGTCCGGGCTCAATTCAAGGTGCTAGCAATTACCTATATAGCCCTTAACGGCTTGGGACCTGGGTACCTAAAGGAACGCCTTCTTCTGTATTTGCCCTCCTGCCCCCTGAGATTGGCGGCAGAGGCCCTCCTCCGGGAACACTCCGTGAAAGACATTAGGAGGCAAAGTACCCGGAGGAGGGCCTTCTCTGCGGTGCCGCCCCGACTGTGGAATGCGCTCCCCAGAGAGGTCCGCCTGGCGCCATCGTTATTTGTTTTTTGGCACCAGGCTAAGACCTTTTATTTAAACAATATTTTAACAACTGTTAATCATCAGCTAAATAGGTTTTAATCTGCAGCCAGGGTGGATCTGGATTTTATTTGTATTACGTTTTATTTTATTTTTCTTATTTATGTAAGCTGTCCTGAGGCTATGCGATGGGATGGCATACAAAGACTCTTCATTAATTAATTAATAGTGGGTGCTATTCCGTTCAGGTCCAGTTTGTGGGTTTCCTACAGGCAGCTGGACTAGGTGGACAAATGGCCAGACTAAACAGACCCTAACCGTACAGGCCACACCTATTTTTGGCCAAGGGAAGCAACAGCCGTGATCCTGGGTGGTCAGCGGTTGCCTCTCAGGGAGAGAAAAGCTATAGATGAGTAAGAGGTACATAATGTTTGAAAAGGCTGGAAGAGAACATTTGATCTCAGTCTTGTGCAAGTCTAGACAAGAAACGGGCTTAGCAAAGCTGGTTATGTCACAGTGGGAGTCGTGGGCCTTTTTTCTGTCCAAAGCGCAACTGGAGCAAATGAGCAGAACCTCATTCTCACAAACTATATCTAACCCTCCTGGGGGACAAAATAAGACCTGGCCTCAGAACCTTTCCCTCTGACCATTGATCCTTGGGTGTTTTCCGAGGTTTTTCCCGAAAGCTAGAAATGTCAGAATTTTGGGAGTTTGCCTTCAGCCCCTCCAAGCTTCCCACTCACCACAGGAATGCATGGCTGGACAACTTCTCCAAAATAGAATTCAGCCTTTGGGTGTACAGTTCTCAAGTCAGTAACTGGACATTGTTAAGATGTGCAATTTTTGCTGGAAAAACCTTTGAAACATGAGCTTCAACAGGAAAGAAACAAAAATGAATTAGGATTATAGAATTGTCCCAGTCCCTCCAAAAACTAAAAACTTTAGGGGTCTGTGGAACAAAAGCTTTTGTACAGTGTTAAATCAGCTTGCCCTTACCTGTGCCTTGCAGATGTGTTGCGCTTCACCTCTGGCATCTGCATAGACATGGAATGGCTTGCAAAAATAATGTCGATGAAACTCCCCTCTTCTCTACCAATGATCGTGCTAACGGGAGCAACGCAAGTTGTAGTCTTACAGATTTCAAGTGGGCCTCGTTGCAGAAATCTGATTTAAATCATGCAACTTTGGTGGTAGAGCTAAAACACCCAAGAAACAGTTGAATGAATAAAATGTTCTCCCTCCTACATTTACTACATTCTTAGTTCTAGAGCACGAATCCCACAGAGGCAGAGGACTTTTCTTTCTTCTTAAAGCACCTATAATCATAGAAAGAGGATGTCTGTCTGTCCACCCGTCTGTCTTCATCACAGCTCCAAGACTGTGAAGCCAAGACACTTGAAACTTGGCATGCAAATGAAAGGGAAGTTAGAAGTGTGCATCTTTTTGTTATTTTGCTTTAAAAACTTACTAACTTGGATTAATGTAAAAGTTTCTGTGAGCTTGAAGCTTGCAGTAACATATTCAATCTTTAGGGGGCAGACTTTCCTCACCAACCTCATAGCCTTCCAGTCGGTGCAGCTTAAAGCCAGGGATGATTAGTAAACCAGGGGATATGAGTGATACAGCTGTTCCTGCCATTCCGCAAGGAAATGGACAGAAACCACCCTTTCAGGGCTGCGGGCAGGGCAGGCACAACACGCCCAGCTTTGACAGCTGTGTAGGTTTGCTGAAAGGCTTGGCTGAATGCGGCTGTGCAGAGCTGGGTCCATTCACTAGCGCATGATAGAAAAGGTTGTGCTTTGCATGTCCTTGGTGCCGGGTCCAGTGCCCATCCTCTGGAAGTCGGGCTGGAAAATTCTTCTCTCAAAGGATAGCCGGTGTGGTGTGGTGGGTAGGGTGCTGGACTGGGGACCCCAGAGGCTCCAGGTCTGGCCCCATTCGGCCATGAAGCTCACTGGGAGACTTTGGGACAGTCACAGGCTTCCAGCCAGGGTGGCTGTGGAACTGGGGAAGCCACCTTGGCATCCTTAGAAGAGGGAAAAGGTGAGGTATACATGCAATATAACAATTACAATAGCAGCAGCAACAATAGTTCCAATAAATTTGGGCTGCTGCTTCTCATATCCTGGTTAATTTTCTCTTTTCCCAAATTTTTGCGTTTCTATTTTTTTTTCCATTTCTTTGCAGTCAGATTTTCCTTGTGCACCTGTGAGGTCTAGAAGTGTGCAAAAACATTTTATTTATTTATTTTGGAATGGGCATACATATGTGGCATACAGAAGACGGCTTTTCAGCTTAGCTTGTGCCATATTTGGTTTTCTCTGGATCAAAATCACATGATTGACAGGTGGTAAAAACGATCTGCTATATTTTAATCTCTCTCTCTCAGAGCATTTCATGCCACATTTTCATGTCTCAACCGCACTGTTCAACATGCATTCCTGGCTGTCCTCAACTTTAAACTCTCTTATTCTCTTTCTCTCAACACCCTGCCTCCTCTGCAGATCACAACAGCAGTGAAGTTTCTACAAAACCCCAGAGTCCGCCAGAGTCCACTGGCAGCTAGAAAATCGTTCCTCAAGAAAAAAGGTACCCGATTCCAACAGTTCTAAGATGCTTTCCCCCAACCTGGTCCTCTCCAGATGTGTTGGACTGCAATTCCCATCATGCTCATCACATCTGGAGAGCGCCAGGTCAGGAAAGGCTGGGAATTCCTCCTCTCTTGATGTGTCTGTTATATGCCGTTTTCCCCCTGTAGTTGAAACATTTTCTAGTTCCTTTAGCCTTTCCTGGTGTGATTTGTCATGTTGACGTTTTCTCCCCGCCCCTGCTGTTCTCTGAAACTCTGGATGTGTTTTCACGAGTATGAGTCCACAAGCCTTAAAGACAGGTCTCACGTTTTTCCAAAGCGGCTTGCGTTTTCGATGTATGAACCAGTCCGCCCCTCCATTCCAACCCCCCCCCCCCCCAGCAGAAGGAGCATTTTAGCATCAATAGACTGTTTGGCCAGCTCTAATTCCTGAATGGCCTTTGCTGTAGGTTGGACTGGCTGGCGAGCGCGATGGTAATGGTTTCAGAAGAGAGCTGGGCCACGCAATGGAGGGCACAGGCCACAGTCAGCAAAAGTGAGGTCGGGTTAAGGTTAAATTTGGGGTCATCCTTCCTTTCATAGACTAAAAGGGCAACCGATTGACTGCCGAGTCCTTTTAGACGCGAAGAAGAGTTGCTGCCGTCTCAATAAATTCAGCATCATTTTCAGCAGATGGAAGCCGCACAATTTCTATTGCATTTGTCTTGAAGAAAGTACCATGCGTTGGTTTCTCTTTATTTTTAAGTGATGATCTAAAGCTTTAGAACTGTCAGCTCAGGAACAGGGGGGGGGGGGTTCTTTGTTCGGGTTGCATTTGAATTCAGATTGCTGAACTAGAGATCGCGCGCGCGCGCGCGCGCGCGCGCGCGTGTGTGTGTGTGTTTCTGCTTTGTCCCAAGCCCACATTTTTTTTTCTCTTAAAAAGGCAAGGAAGTCTCTAGTCCATATGAATGTAAAGGAAAAGCTTGAAAATATATTGGCAGGTTTTGCAGAATGAAGCAAAACAGAAAATAAGGAGCATTGTACAATGTAAAAGAGCATTTGTTCTTTTAGCACAAAAGTCAGCTCAGCCCTGTAGCTTTTAGTTTGTACATCCTGACCCTCATGAATTCATCAATTTACAGCCCCCTCAGAATATGCATCTTCCTGGGCCCCTCACAGAATTCCAGATTCTCTTCTCCACACAGTCACAACCTTCCACAAAACATAATCCAGTGCAGGGTTAGACATGCTTCAAGGGGAGGTCTTGACTGAGGTGGTAAACTTATATTTAGATTGAATGATCTAAAAGGCAGATGGAGGCTTGCATGTTTACGCACGTCTACACGCCCCTCCAAAGCCCTTTCGCTTAGAAACCCAGCATCTCAAAGAGAATGGGCCTGTCATGCTAACTTTCTGTGTGCGTGGACTTTGAAAAATTATTCTTTTAAAGAGTAGAGAAGCTTGCGTTTCTTTGCTGTCTGCATTGCTATAGCCTGGAATCAGGTCTGCAACATCAGCCTCTACCCAAACAACTTGTTGGGTAGGCTTGTTTTCTGCCCCCTGCAGACTTTCTTAGAGCAAGTTCTTAGAGGAGTTCTTAAAATTTCAGTTGGAGCTGAGAATGGACATCTCTTGTCTGAAATGCACATGCAGGTAAATAAATACCTACATGTAGAAACAGCCTTTCTTCAACCCAGTTGCTTCCAGAAGTGTTGGACTACAGTTCCCAATATCCCCCAGTTAGCATGCTAGCAGCTGTAGTCCTCAGTCCCCCACCTTTCTGCTTTATGGGGTCTCTCTAATGGGCTTCTGTGAGAAAGGGGGAGAGAAACGTCTCCCTGTCCACTTCTCCCCACACCCTGAATTGCTCTGTATTCCTCCATCATGTCTTCTCTCTCTCCTTTTTCCAAGCTAAGCATCCCCGGCTGTTGTGAGCTTTCCTCTGAGCCAGTGTGGCACAGTGGTTCAAGTGTCATCCTGGGACTTGGGAAATAGGGGCTCTAGCCCCCCCCCTCCACTTGACCACGGACCTTGTTGTGTGGATTCTGGCCTGTCACTGATATGCAGCCTTAACCCATCTCACAGTGTTGCTTGAAGAGGACATAACTGAGGTTCCCTGCAAGAGGAGAAAAGGTGGAATATAAATGAAAAAACTGAGCTTTCCCATCCTGTTGATCCTTCCATCTTCAGTGGGTTGGAGCGAACCCAGGCAGGTGTAACGTTTTGCTCACCTTGCGCTGCAAAGGAACCTGCACAGACCTTGCTTATGTTCAGCATGTGCGTCGGTTACTCGACAGAAGTTGAATTATAATTATAATTATTTTGTAAAGTGCCCCGTTTCAGAGCCTAGAGACACAATAGCCCGCTGAGGGAGGTCAGGCTTTAAAAGTGCTCCCCGCTTGCTATTCCAGTCTTTCCAAAGTTGCCGTTTGCTGCATGGTTCTCTCTCTCTCTCTCTCTCTCTCTCTCTCTCTCTCTCTCTCTCCCTCTCTCCCTCCCTCCCTCCCTCCCCCTTGAAATATGTGGAGTGGACCTACGGGGAGTAATTAATCATAAAAGCTTTGGGATTTCAACTCTATCATCGAAGCAATGAAGCAGGGGAAAGTTGAGCCTAAAAGCCGTGCTGATTACCCGCAGTAACTCGAGAAGAAATCTATCGTTGCCGAGAGAGATCCTTTAGCACCTTCCTTTCTTCTCCCCCGCTTTCCCCCAGCTCAAACGCTGTACCCCGGGACATTGTGCGATATTATAACAGCCTGTATATCTCGCTGAAATGACCAGTTATTCCTTGTGCTCCCTTTCGCTTTCCCACCCCCCTTCTCTCTTTCAACGCAGACGGGTTAGGATTTCATTTGCAAAAGGTATTTAGAGCAATTTAGAGACGAACGTCTTGGGTGTTTGCGCTGCATTTCCCCACCAGCTTCGCAAAGGTTTTTTTTTTTTAATAGTATCTGGAGCTCCATCTAATCTGTTTAATTTTAATAAATCCCTGACTGGGAGAAGCAAAGATTGGGGGTTGGTGGGAGGGCGTCAATGCGTTGATGTCGGCAAGGGAAGCTGGCAGAGAAGGCCTGAAAAGAGAGACGGTGACCCGATTAAAGCTCCTAATGAATTACTTGGCTAATGACTACCAAATTGAGGTGGGTGGGGGACACACGACCCTGTTTGATATAACAGCTCCCCCTCACTCTCTTTGAAATTAGTTTCTCTTTGCCTTCTTTCTGATAGCAAACTTGGGTGAATGAGAGCTAATCGCTTTGGAAATGAAATAGAGCAACCTAAAAAATAACTTATTTTTTTTAGCGTACTTTGGAGACTTCCTAGGTCAGGCATGTTGCACCTTATACCCATCGCTAAGGTATACCCACTCGGGTCCTCCAGAAGTTCTTGTGTCTACGCCCCTTTCTCCCAAGCACCGGTCATTTCGTGGTTGCTTGGTTTTTCCAAGTCTCCTGCTCACCCCCACATTCTAACGGTTGAAATGCATCTTGTAAAATATAATCACTGGCAGCAAGAGTTTTAACCTTTAAAAAAAGTTGTTTCAAGGATTTTGTAGAAAGTTAATTTCAAAGGGATTTTTTGCCCTACCCTCTTTGGCTTGCAGTGGGGAACCAGGCCAGCCCTCCCATGGGGCGGGGAGACGCTGTCACCTCCAGAAGCAGAGCAGGGGGGATGCCAAGTTCCCCATGCCAGCACCTGCCCACCAGAAAGGCTCCTTGCTGCCCCTTCCCTGGAGCAAGACAGCTGCACCCTGGGCTCTCCCATCCCTGCTGGCCCCCTGTAGCCAGTGCCACGACAGTGCAGTTCCCAGATCAGCCACCCTCCCTCTTTTGCTCCGAGGGGCTTCTCCAAGCGAGACTGAGTCGCCCGCCCGCTGGAGAGCTGCCCAGGCTCAGGTGCCCGCCTCTGAGCTGGCAGGGCATCCTGGGAAGTTGGCCTACGCCCGGCGCGACTGGAGGCTGATGGCTCCCGGATCAGCAGGGCTGTGCACCCATTCCAGGGTTTGCTCTGAACTGCAGGAGCTACCCATGGGGCCAAAACTAGGGCTTGGCACCCTGGATTTCTCTCCGGAGGTCCAGAGCAAAACGGGGGCAGGATATACAGCCCCGCTGACCTGGGAACCACCAGGAAAGATGCTCTCGGGGCCACACGTTTCAGGCGGGCAGTGCCAGGGATGCACACCTGTGGCTGACCAGAGAGCCTGTCCCTGCGCAGGTCGCAGGGGCTGCTGCGGGGCCTCGCAGCCGCACCCTTCCCTGAGATCTTGCACCACTGCTGGAGGGGGCCACGCGTGGCCTGCTTCAACTCCGCACCTCAGAATCCAGCCCAGCACTCCGTCCTGGAGCACCGCTGCTCGAAGTAGCCCCTTGAAAGGCCGGATTGAGGCGAGTGCTGACCTAGAACCCCGGGAGGCCCAGTCCCCTGGAGAGGGCTCTGCCGCGGACATGTAATAGCGTGAACAAAGTGCTCCCCACGGGGTGACAAGCTCTTATTTGGAGAGATGGGTAGGAGGCCGAGGCAAGCTTTGCCCTTGTGTACAGCAGCTTCATTAATCAGCTTGGTTAGGAGGAGGCGCAGCCCGCGGAAAGGGAGCCCAAAGGCCTCTGGTAGCTTCAGTCAGGGGATGGAAGGTGCCGAGTGCCCAGCAAAGACCTGGCGGGATCTCTCTGCCTGGCCAGGAGCTGGCGAGCTGCTGGAGCGGGGGAGCTGCAGGCTGTGAATGCTCTAATTAATAGGAACATTGCAAGTGGCCTCCTACAGAGCCAATTAGCCCAAAAATGTCGGCACAGACTGGCAGCTGCAGCTCTGCCGGCCCTCTGGCGGGATTCCTGCCCAGCCCTGCCTGGAGAAGCCGGGGTCAGACTGGACCTTTTCGAGGGGCCCTACTGCTGAACCACAGATCACCCTGCAAGCCGCTGGACGGAACGTGTGCATCGCCCCAGAGACTTTGACCAGTGCCGGCGCCTGTTGAACGCAGCACCTACAGTTCGTACTCTCAAATCGGTTCTGTCCCCCA